TGTACAGTAGTGTATAGTAGTGTACAGTAGTGTATAGTAGTGTAGTGTATAGTAGTGTAGTGTATAGTAGTGTAGTGTATAGTAGTGTAGTGTATAGTAGTGTAGTGTATAGTAGTGTAGTGTATAGTAGTGTAGTGTATATTAGTGTAGTGTATAGTAGTGTATAGTATAGTAGTGTATAGTATAGTAGTGTAGTATAGTAGTGTAGTGTATAGTAGTGTAGTGTATAGTAGTGTAGTGTATAGTAGTGTAGTGTATAGTAGTGTAGTGTATAGTAGTGTATAGTAGTGTAGTGTATAGTAGTGTAGTGTATAGTAGTGTAGTGTATAGTAGTGTAGTGTATAGTAGTGTAGTGTATAGTATAGTAGTGTAGTGTATAGTAGTGTATAGTAGTGTAGTGTATAGTAGTGTAATGTATAGTAGTGTAGTGTGTAGTAGTGTAGTGTATAGTAGTGTATAGTGTATAGTAGTGTAGTGCATAGTGTAGTGTACATTCACAACTCGAGTAGTACGACGTTTCGCCGCCAATTACACTGTCCGGCATCAGCGGGCGATTTGCCAGACTCGTTTTGTTTACGCGACGAACCTTCCCGGCCGCGTTGGGTGGTGGAGGGCTTACGACACATTCACTCACGCTCAAAGTTACCCACATTTTACCACCCCTCCCCTCCCTTATTCACAGAAGTCCAGTCTGGGCACGTGTTCAAGAAGTAAAAACGACGATAGAGTCACGTGACGATGCAGCAGTGGCTACCCGTCCAACCGCTTTTTGAATGCGCTCCTGCGGCCGTCTGGAACGCTCTCTTCCTCGCCGACATTAGGAAGCCAGAATAGGGATCTTCATCCGTACTCGAGGAATCCGATGAGCTATGAAGCGCTTTTTTTATTCTCTGCACGGGGGTCAGAACCCAGTGGGAACTAGGCACTTTCAAATCGGCATCTCGAATGACAAACTCGTTCGGTGAGGACTGCCGCTCCGTTTAGCGCGGTTGGCTGACGTACGGTGTGAAAGAAGTTCAACATACTGCACGCAAGTACAGGACAACACAATGCTGCCACAGTGCCGGTTCGACTCGACCTCCGGGCGCGGCAGGTGACGAATCAATAGTTCAAGATTGTTAAATATCCCCCTCCCTATCACCCCGTCCCACCCAGCAGCTTCACGGCACTGAAGTCTATGATCGGCAAAGGACACTCCTAAGGGTCATGATCGTGATTTATGATCGTTGATCATGATCGTGATTTATGATCGTTGATCAAGATCGTGATTTTTGATCGTTGATCATGATCGTGATTTATGATCGTAATTTATTATCGTTGATCATGATCGTGATTTATGATCGTTGGTCATGATCGTAATTTATGATCGTTGATCATGATAGTAATTTATGATTGTTGATCGTGATTTTATGATCGTTGATCATGATCGTGATTTATGATCGTTGATCATTTTCGTGATTCATGCTCATTGATCATGATCGTGATTCATGCTCGTTGATCGTGATAGTGATTCATGCTCATTGATCATGATCGTGATTCATGCTCGTTGATCGTGATAGTGATTTATGATCGTTGATCATGATCGTGATTTATGATCGTTGATCATGATCGTGATTCATGCTCGTTGATCGTGATCGTGATTCATGATCGTTGATCATGATCATCTCCGGAAACCTCAGGACGCACGCCCCAATAGGATGCTCGAGCCGGCGACTTCTTGCCCCTTTGCGAGACTTGAGACAAGCGGCGGTGATGCTGGACGTGGTGTGCCGGGACTGTGTGCAGGAGGAAGGGTCCGAGTTCCAGCCCCAACGAACGCCCCGGTGACGATTGTCCGAACCGGTCCCTGGGTCGCCTCGGCCCCAAACGAGTGACCCGTTGGGGTGCGGTGCCGTAGTGAACATCGCCACTCGGGGAGACAAAGGCGGCCGGGCGTGGTGCTGGCCACCCACCCACCCACCTCGTGCGCCGTGCCGGCCTTCGTAGCTGCTGCTACTCGCTAACAGCACTTGCCCCTGCAGTCTGTTGCAGGCTACACGGGGGAGCTTTGTCTTTGTGCGGCGACAGAAGAGCAGCAGAGAGAGATTGGAGTCGTCTCTTTTGGGGTGTGGGGTCTTTGTTGTTGTTGTTCTGGTTGTTGTTGTTGTTGTTGTTCTGGTTGTTGTTGTTCTGGTTGTTGTTGTTCTGGTTGTTGTTGTTGACTTTCATTTCACAATCTGCACGGTGTCACTATGTGTGTCACTGTGTGTGTCACTGTGTCACTATGTGTGTCACTGTGTCACTGTGTGTGTCACTGTGTCACTGTGTGTGTCACTGTGTGTGTCACTGTGTGTGTCACTGTGTGTGTCACTGTGTCACTCTGAATGACACTGTGTCACTGTGTTTGTCACTGTGTGTGTCACTGTGTCACTGTGTGTGTCACTGTGTCACTATGTGTGTCACTGTGTCACTATGTGTGTCACTGTGTGTGTCACTGTGTCACTATGTGTGTCACTGTGTCACTATGTGTGTCACTGTGTCACTATGTGTGTCACTGTGCCACTGTGTGTCACTGTGTGTCACTGTGTCAGTCACTGTGTCAGTCACTGTGTCACTATGTGTGTCACTGTGTCACTGTGTGTGTGACTGTGTCACTGTGTGTCACTGTGTCACTGTGTGTGTCACTGTGTGTGTCACTGTGTGTGTCACTGTGTCACTATGTGTGTCACTGTGTCACTGTGTGTGTCACTGTGTCACTGTGTGTGTCACTGTGTCACTGTGTGTGTCACTGTGTTTGTCACTGTGTGTGTCACTGTGTGTGTCACTGCATCACTATGTGTGTCACTGTGTCACTATGTGTGTCACTGTGTCAGTCACTGTGTCACTATGTGTGTCACTGTGTCACTATGTGTGTCACTGTGTGTGTCACTGTGTCACTATGTCACTATGTGTGTCACTGTCACTGTGTGTGTCACTGTGTGTGTCACTGTGTCACTCTGTGTGTCATTGTGTGTGTCACTGTCACTGTGTGTGTCACTGTGTGTGTCACTATGTGTGTCACTGTGTGTGTCACTATGTGTGTCACTGTGTCTGTCACTGTGTGTGTCACTGTGTCACTATGTGTGTCACTGTGTCACTGTGTGTCACTGTGTCACTGTGTCACTATGTGTGTCACTGTGTCACTGTGTCACTATGTGTGTCACTGTGTCACTGTGTGTGTCACTGTGTCACTGTGTGTGTCACTGTGTCACTGTGTGTCACTGTGTCACTATGTGTGTCACTGTCACTATGTATGTCACTGTGTGTGTCACTGTCACTATGTGTGTCACTGTGTCACTGTGTGTGTCACTGTGTGTGTCACTGTGTGTCAATGTGTCACTATGTGTGTCAATGTGTGTGTCACTGTGTCACTCTGAGTGACGCTCACAACAACGAGCGGAGCGCCGGGTGGCTAAAGCATAGCAGATTGGCACAGTAGGGGGCACAGGTGGTGCATCAGCCAGTCATCTCAGTCAGTCGACCCGTGGCACCTGGGTCTGCCCCGTGACCTCCTGCCAGGGGGCGTTCGACACTTCACGTGGCCTCAGGGTGCACATGTCCTGGCACAAGCGTCGTGGTGACGTCACCGCCACTTAGTGGCGAATGGCGGTTGTTGTATGTGTGTGTGCGTGTGTGTGTCACTGTGTGTGTCACTGTGTGTGTCACTGTGTGAGTGTCACTGAGTGTGTCACTGTGTGTGTGTCACTGTGTGTGTGTCACTGTGTGTGTCACTGTGTGTGGCACTGTGTTTGTCACTGTGTGTGTGTCACTGTGTGTGTGTCACTGTGTGTGTGTCACTGTGTGTCACTGTGAGTGTCACTGAGTGTCACTGTGAGTGTCACTGAGTGTGTCACTGTGTGAGTGTCACTGTGTGTGGCACTGTGTGTGTGTCACTGTGTCACTGTGTGTGGCACTGTGTGTGTGTCACTGTGTCACTGTGTGTGTCACTGTGTCACTGTGTCACTGTGTGTGTCACTGTGTCAGTCACTGTGTCACTGTGTGTATCACTGTGTCACTGTGTTTGTCACTGTGTGAGTGCCACTGTTTCACTGTGTCACTGTGTGTCACTGTATGTGTCACTGTGTATGTGTCACTGTTTGTGTCACTGTGTGTGTCACTGTGTGTGTGTCACTGTGTGTGTGTCACTGAGTGTCACTGTGTGTGTGTCACTGTGTGTGTGTCACTGTGTGTGTCACTGTGTGTGTCACTGTGTGTGGCACTGTGTGTGGCATTGTGTGTGTCACTGTGTCACTGTGTGTGTCACTGTGTGTGTCACTGTGTCACTGTGTCACTGTGTGTGTCACTGTGTGTGTCACTGTGTGTGTCACTGTGTATATCACTGTGTCACTGTTTGTGTCACTGTGTCACTGTGTGTGTCACTGTGTATATCACTGTGTATATCACTGTGTCACTGTTTGTGTCACTGTGTCACTGTGTGTGTGTGTCACTGTGTGTGTCACTGTGTGTGTGTCACTGTGTGTGTGTCACTGTGTGTGTGTCACTATGTGTGTCACTGTGTGTGTGTCACTGTGTGTGTGTGTCACTGTGTGTGTGTCACTGTGTGTGTGTCACTATGTGTGTCACTGTGTGTGTGTCACTGTGTGTGTGTCACTGTGTGTGTCACTGTGTGTGTCACTGTGTGTGTGTCACTGTGTGTGTGTCACTATGTGTGTCACTGTGTGTGTGTCACTGTGTGTGTGTCACTGTGTGTGTTTGTCACTGTGTTTGTGTGTGTCACTGTGTGTGTGTCACTGTGTGTGTGTCACTGTGTGTGTGTCACTGTGTGTGTGTCACTGTGTGTGTGTCACTGTGTGTGTGTCACTGTGTGTGTGTCACTGTGTGTGTGTGTCACTGTGTGTGTCACTGTGTGTGTGTGTGTCACTGTGTGTGTCACTGTGTGTGTGTCACTGTGTGTGTGTCACTGTGTGTGTCACTGTGTGTGTGTCACTGTGTGTGTGTCACTGTGTGTGTGTGTCACTGTGTGTGTGTGTGTCACTGTGTGTGTCACTATGTGTGTCACTGTGTGTGTCACTGTGTGTGTGTGTGTCACTGTGTGTGTGTCACTGTGTGTGTGTCACTGTGTGTGTGTGTCACTGGATGATGAGATTGTCACTCTCGGCGAGGCCGTAGGCCACCTTGTGCGCGTTGAACACCCGCTGCAGGCCGCTCACGTACAGCGCGTGGTAGCGGTCCACCTCCTCTGCCGTGGGCTCTGGGATGTGGGGGACCGTGATGGGCTCCCCCACTGGGGGGCAGGGGGGGCAGAGGGGGGGCAGGGGGGGGGCAGGGGGGTGGCGGTGATGGGAGGCGGGAGAAGGAACATTGGTTTAAGAGGGTTTGTGAGTGGGAGTTTCAGTGGGTGGGTGAGTGGATGAATGGGTGGGTGAGTGAGTTGGTGAGTGAGTTGGTGAGTGGATGGGTGAGTGGATGGGTGAGTGGATGGGTGAGTAGGTGGGTGGGAGAATAGGTGGATGGGTGGGTGAGTGCGTGGGTGAATTGGTGGGTAGGTAGGTGTATATGTGGGCGATTCGATGGGTGGGTAAGTAGGTGAGTGGGCGGGTGAGTGAATGGGTGGGTGGGTTGGTGGATGTGTGGGTGAGTAGGCGAGTGGGTGGGTGGGTGGCTGGGTGAGTTGGTGGGTGGCTGGGTGAGTTGGTGGATGTATGGGCGAGTGGGCGAGTGGGTGAATGGGTGGGTGGGTTGGTGGATGTGTGGGTGAGTAGGCGAGTGGGTGGGTGGGTGGCTGGGTGAGTTGGTGGGTGGCTGGGTGAGTTGGTGGATGTATGGGCGAGTGGGCGAGTGGGTGGGTGGGTGGCTGGGTGAGTTGGTGGGTGGCTGGGTGAGTTGGTGGGTGGCTGGGTGAGTTGGTGGGTGGCTGGGTGAGTTAGTGGATGTGTGGGCGAGTGGGCGAGTGGGCGAGTGGGTGAGTGCGTGGGTGGCTGGGTGAGTGGGCGGGTGGGTGGCTGGGTGAGTTGGTGGGTGGCTGGGTGAGTTGGTGGATGCGTGGGCGAGTGGGTGAGTGGGTGGGTGGCTGGGCGAGTTGTTGGATGTGTGGGCTAGTTGGTGGATGTGTGGGCGAGTGGGCGAGTGAGTGAGTGGTTGGGTGAATGTGTGGGCGAGCGGGTGAGCAGGCCGAGCGAGCGAGCGAGCGAGGGGTCGTTTCGGCACCACTCACCCACGGTGAGGATGGGCGTGGGGAGCGGCAGGACCCCCCACGAGTCGGGGTTGAGGACCGCCCTGCCGTGGAAGATGCACGGCGCGAACCCCATGGCCTTCTGGAAGGCCACCTGGGCTCGGCGCTTCCACGTCCCCTCGGCGAACACCAGCTGCTTGAAGGTGGCCCCCTCGCCAAACGAGTACACGGGAACCAGGTCAGCCCTGACGGGGGAGCGGGGGCGGGGGGGGGCGAGCGGGGGGAGGAGGATGGGGGGGGGGGGTCCCCCGGTTTGTGAACAGAGTTCGTAATGGAAGTATTCGTCAAGGAAGATGAGTTGTGTCTCTCTGTGTGTTTCTGTGTCTGTGTGTCTCTCTGTGTGTCTCTGTCTCTGTGTGTCTCTCTGTCTGTCTCTGTGTCTCTCTGTGTGTCTCTCTGTGTGTCTCTCTGTGTGTCTCTCTGTGTGTCTCTGTCTGTGTGTCTCTGTGTGTCTCTCTGTGTGTCTCTCTGTGTGTCTCTCTGTGTCTCTGTGTGTCTCTGTCTGTGTGTCTCTGTGTCTCTCTGTCTGTGTGTCTCTGTGTCTCTGTGTGTCTCTCTGTGTGTCTCTCTGTCTGTGTGTCTCTGTGTCTCTCTCTGTGTGTCTCTGTCTGTGTGTCTCTGTCTGTGTGTCTCTGTCTGTGTGTCTCTGTCTGTGTGTCTCTGTGTGTCTCTGTGTGTCTCTGTGTGTCTCTGTCTGTGTCTCTCTGTGTCTCTGTGTGTCTCTCTGTGTCTCTCTGTGTCTCTCTGTGTCTCTCTGTGTCTCTCTGTGTCTCTCTGTGTGTCTCTGTGTGTCTCTTCGCCGGTTAGAAACATTTAGGCTGGCCTGCCTACGATCCATCCTGGGTTTAGCCAGACTGGACTGTGTGAGGAGCTCACAAATCCTTGAAAGATCTGGGCAAGGTCCCATCGGCGAGCTCCTCCGGCAGGCAAGGCTGCGTTGGCTGGGTCATGTAGCCCGCATGCCCAGCCACCGCATGCCGAAACAGCTTTTGTTCGGCCGGATTGAGGGGGCTAAGCGGGCGCGGCACGGGCTAGAGAAGAGATGGAGTGATGTGGTACGGGAGGACGTGGAGCTGAGTGGACTTGCCGATGACTGGTACCAGCGGTGTCAAGATCGACCTCTGTGGAGGAGGCTCGTGAAGGATGCTACTGGGCAGTTGGAGACATTCGCCCTCCAACAACAACGGAGGGCGGAGGAGCGACACTCACAACAACGAGCGGAGCGCCAGGTGGCTAAAGCACAGCAGGTTGGCACAGTAGGGGGCACAGGTGGTGCATCAGCCGGTCATCTCAGTCATCTTAGTCAGTCGACCCGTGGCACCTGGGTCTGCCCCGTGACCTCCTGCCGGCGGGCATTCGACACTTCACGTGGCCTCAGGGTGCACATAGCCTGGCACAAGCGTCGTGGTGACGTCACCGCCACTTAGTGGCGAATGGCGGTTGTTGTTGTTGTCTCTGTGTGTGTCTCTGTGTGTGTCTCTCTCTGTGTGTCTCTGTGTGTCTCTCTCTCTCTACGTGTCTCTCTGTCTCTCTGTGTGTCTGTGTGTCTGTGTGTCTCTCTGCGTGTCTCTCTGTGTGCCTGTGTGTCTCTCTGTGTGTCTGTGTGTCTCTCTGTGTGTCTGTGTGTCTCTCTGTGTGTCTGTGTGTCTCTCTGTGTGTCTGTGTGTCTCTCTGTGTGTCTGTGTGTCTCTCTGTGTGTCTGTGTGTCTCTCTGTGTGTCTGTGTGTCTCTCTGTGTGTCTGTGTGTCTCTCTGTGTGTCTGTGTGTCTCTCTGTGTGTCTGTGTGTCTGTCTGTGTGTCTCTCTGTGTGTCTGTGTGTCTCTCTGTGTGTCTCTCTGTGTGTCTCTGTGTGTGTCTCTGTGTGTGTCTCTGTGTGTGTCTCTGTGTGTGTCTCTGTGTGTGTCTCTGTGTGTGTCTCTGTGTGTCTCTCTGTGTGTCTCTCTGTGTGTCTCTCTGTGTGTCTCTCTGTGTGTCTCTCTGTGTGTCTCTCTGTGTGTCTCTGTGTGTGTCTCTGTGTGTGTCTCTGTGTGTGTCTCTGTGTGTGTCTCTGTGTGTGTCTCTGTGTGTGTCTCTGTGTGTGTCTCTCTGTGTGTCTCTGTGTGTGTGTCTCTGTGTGTGTGTCTCTGTGTGTGTGTCTCTGTGTGTGTGTCTCTGTGTGTGTGTCTCTCTGTGTGTGTGTGTCTCTCTGTGTGTCTCTCTGTGTGTGTGTCTCTGTGTGTGTGTCTCTGTGTGTCTCTGTGTGTCTCTCTCTCTGCGTGTCTCTCTGTCTCTCTGTGTGTCTGTGTGTCTGTGTGCCTCTCTGTGTGTCTGTGTGTCTGTGTGCCTCTCTGTGTGTCTGTGTGTCTCTCTGTGTGTCTGTGTGTCTGTGTGTCTCTCTGTGTGTCTGTGTGTGTCTGTGTGTCTCTCTGTGTGTGTCTCTGTGTGTGTCTCTCTCTGTGTGTCTCTCTCTGTTTGTCTCTCTCTGTTTGTCTCTCTCTGTTTGTCTCTCTCTGTTTGTCTCTCTCTGTTTGTCTCTCTCTGTTTGTCTCTCTCTGTTTGTCTCTCTCTGCGTGTCTCTGCGTGTCTCTGCGTGTCTCTCTGTGTGTGTCTGTGTGTGTGTGTCGCTGTGTGTGTGTCTCTGTATGTGTGTCGCTGTGTGTGTGTGTCTGTGTGTGTGTGTGTCTGTGTGTGTGTGTCTCTGTGTGTGTGTGTCTCTGTGTGTGTCTCTGTGTGTGTCTCTCTGTGTGTCTCTCTGTGTGTCTCTCTGTGTGTCTCTCTGTGTGTCTCTCTGTGTCTCTCTGTGTCTCTCTGTGTCTCTCTCTGTGTGTTTCTCTCTGTGTGTTTCTCTCTGTGTGTTTCTCTCTGTGTGTTTCTCTCTGTGTGTTTCTCTCTGTGTGTTTCTCTCTGTGTGTTTCTCTCTGTGTGTGTGTCTCTGTGTCTCTCTGTGTGTCTCTCTGTGTGTCTCTCTGTGTGCCTCTCTGTGTGTCTCTCTGTGTCTCTCTGTGTCTCTCTGTGTGTCTCTGTGTGTCTCTGTGTGTCTCTCTGTGTGTGTCTCTGTGTGTGTGTCTCTCTGTGTGTGTGTCTCTCTGTGTGTGTCTCTGTGTGTGTGTCTCTCTGTGTGTCTCTGTGTGTCTCTCTGTGTGTCTCTCTGTGTGTGTCTCTGTGTGTCTCTCTGTGTGTCTCTCTGTGTGTCTCTCTGTGTGTCTCTCTGTGTGTCTCTCTGTGTGTCTCTCTGTGTGTGTGTTTCTCTGTGTGTGTGTCTCTCTGTGTGTGTGTCTCTCTGTGTGTGTGTCTCTCTGTGTGTGTGTTTCTCTGTGTGTGTGTCTCTCTGTGTGTGTGTCTCTCTGTGTGTGTGTCTCTCTGTGTGTGTCTCTGTGTGTGTCTCTGTGTGTGTCTCTGTGTGTGTCTCTCTGTGTGTCTCTCTGTGTGTCTCTCTGTGTGTGTCTCTGTGTGTCTCTCTGTGTGTCTCTCTGTGTGTCTCTCTGTGTGTCTCTCTGTGTGTCTCTCTGTGTGTCTCTCTGTGTGAGTCTCTCTGTGTGAGTCTCTGTGTGTGAGTCTCTGTGTGTCTCTCTATGTGTGTCTCTCTCTGTGTGTCTCTCTCTGTGTGTCTCTCTCTGTGTGTCTCTCTCTGTGTGTCTCTCTCTGTGTCTCTCTCTGTGTGTGTCTCTGTGTCTCTCTCTGTGTGTGTCTCTCTGTGTGTCTCTGCGTGTCTCTCTGTGTGTCTCTTCGATTCCCCCCCCCCCCACGTATCCCCCCCCCCCACGTACCCCCCTTACCCCTGCTGCAGAGCGATGCGCACGAACCCCTTGCGGCCCTTGAGCACCACGCGGTGGTGGCTGTCGCCGAGGGCCCCCCCCTGCAGGGACTCCGCGGCGCCCCCCACCACGATCACCACGGCGTTCCCTGGGGGGCCGCGGGACAGGAGGTGGTCGATGGCGCCCCGACTCACGGGGCACAGGCCTGGGGCACGGGGGGGGGCACGTGGGGGGCACGGGGGGGGCACGGGGGGGGCACGGGGGGCACGGGGGGGGGCACGGGGTGGACACGGGGGGGGGCACGGGGGGGGCACGGGGGGCAAGGGGTGGCACGGGGGGGGGGGCACGGGGAGACAATGAGTTCCTCGTGCGCTGCGTAAACATCACGACCTGGGATACAAAGACGGCCGGGCGTGGTGTTACCAACCCACGCCCTCGTGTGCCGTGCCGGCCTTCACAGGTCAACACAGCAACACAGCGCCTGGCCCCAACACTCTGTGTGTGTCAGAGGATACGCGGGGATCTTTGTGCGTGTGTGTGATGTGTGTGTGTGATGTGTGTGTGTGATGTGTGTGTGTGTGATGTGTGTGTGTGTGATGTGTGTGTGTGTGAGAGATCTTTGTGTGTGTGATGTGTGTGAGATGTGTGTGTGAGATGTGTGTGTGTGATGTGTGTGTGTGTGATGTGTGTGTGTGTGATGTGTGTGAGGTGTCTGAGGTGTGTGTGATGTGTGTGAGGTGTGTGTGAGTGTGATGTGTGTGAGGTGTGTGAGGTGTGTGAGGTGTGTGTGATGTGTGTGTGTGTGATGTGTGTGTGTGTGATGTGTGTGTGTGTGACGTGTGAGATCTTTGTGTGTGTGATGTGTGTGAGGTGTGTGAGATGTGTGTGTGTGATGTGTGTGTGTGATGTGTGTGTGTGTGAGATCTTTGTGTGTGTGATGTGTGTGAGATGTGTGTGTGTGAGAGATATTTGTGTGTGTGAGATCTTTGTGTGTGTGTGTGTGTGATGTGTGTGTGTGATGTGTGTGTGTGAGATCTTTGTGTGTGTGTGATGTGTGTGTGTGATGTGTGTGTGTGAGATCTTTGTGTGTATGTGATGTGTGTGTGTGATGCGTGTGTGTGAGATATTTGTGTGTGTGTGTGACGAGCTTAAAGGTCCGCGGTCTGAGCGTGGCTGTGTTTCACTCCAGCGCTGTCCTCGAGACAGCCTGATCCCTTCACCTGATGAAGGCCGCTTGTGTTGTGGCCGAAACGTCGTGATTTTTGTTGTTTTATTTTTTACCTACGTGACTTTATCGAATAGAACCAAAGAGTATATGTGTGTGTGTGTGTGAGATGTGTGTGTGTGTGAGATGTGTGTGTGATGTTTGTGTGAGATGTGTGTGTGATGTTTGTGTGAGATGTGTGTGTGTGTGAGAGATGTGTGTGTGTGTGTGAGATGTGTGTGTGTGATGTGTGTGAGATGTGTGTGAGATGTGTGTGTGAGATGTGTGTGTGAGATGTACGTGTGTGAGATGTGTGTGAGATGTGTGTGCGAGATGTATGTGTGTGAGATGTGTGTGAGATGTGTGTGTGTGTGAGATGTGTGTGAGATGTGTGTGTGAGATGTTTGTGTGAGTGTGAGATGTGTGTGTGTGATGTTTGTGTGAGATGTGTGTGTGTGTGAGATGTGTGTGTGTGTGAGATGTGTGTGTGTGAGAGATGTGTGTGTGTGAGATGTGTGTGAGATGTGTGTGTGTGTGAGATGTGTGTGTGTGAGATGTGTGTGTGTGAGATGTGTGTGAGATGTGTGTGTGTGTGAGATGTGTGTGTGTGAGATGTGTGTGAGATGTGTGTGTGAGTGAGATGTGTGTGTGTGAGATGTGTGTGAGATGTGTGTGTGAGTGAGATGTGTGTGTGTGAGATGTGTGTGAGATGTGTGTGTGAGATGTGTGTGTGTGATGTTTGTGTGAGATGTGTGTGTGTGAGATGTGTGTGTGAGATGTGTGAGATGTGTGCGAGACGTTGGCGTGTGTGTGTGAGATGTTTGTGTATGTGTGTGTGAGATGTTTGTGTGTGTGTGTGAGATGTGTGTGTGAGACGTTTGTGTGTGTGTGTGAGATGGGACTGTGTGGGCTGGGTGCTGTGGTGGAGGCGGACCGCGAGGGGGCGCGCTTCGACCACGCGGGGCTCGGAGAGCGACGTGGGGACAGCGGACAGGGAGCGAGCACCGTGAGTCCGGGTGGGACGACTGCTTGGCCCTGATGATGATGGTGATGATGGTGCTGCTGGTGCTGGTGGTGCTGGTGGTGATGATGATGATGGTGCTGATGGTGCTGCTGGTGCTGGTGGTGCTGGTGGTGATGATGGTGATGATGATGATGGTGCTGATGGTGCTGCTGGTGCTGGTGGTGCTGGTGGTGATGATGGTGCTGGTGCTGGTGGTGCTGATGGTGATGATGATGATGGTGCTGATGGTGCTGCTGGTGCTGGTGGTGCTGGTGGTGATGATGGTGCTGGTGCTGGTGGTGCTGCTGATGATGATGATGGTGCTGGTGGTGATGGTGCTGCTGCTGATGATGATGATGGTGCTGGTGATGATGGTGCTGCTGCTGATGATGATGATGCTGCTGATGATGATGATGCTGGTGGTGATGGTGCTGCTGATGGTGATGATGATGATGGTGCTGCTGGTGCTGCTGATGATGATGGTGCTGCTGGTGCTGCTGATGGTGATGATGATGGTGCTGCTGGTGCTGCTGATGGTGATAATGATGATGATGGTGCTGGTGGTGCTGCTGGTGCTGCTGACGGTGATGATGATGATGGTGCTGGTGCTGCTGATGGTGATGATGCTGCTGCTGATAATGATGGTGGTGATGATGGTGCTGGTGGTGCTGCTGGTGCTGCTGATGGTGATGATGCTGCTGATAATGATGGTGGTGATGATGATGATGGTGCTGCTGATGGTGATGATGCTGCTGATAATGATGGTGATGATGATGCTTTTGCCGATGGTGATGCTGGTGCTGCTGATGGTGATGATGCTGCTGATAATGATGGTGATGATGCTGCTGATAATGATAATGATGGTGATGCTGCTGCTGATAATGATGGTGATGATGATGCTGCTGCTGATGATGATGGTGATGATGATGCTGCTGCTGATGATGGTGATGATGCTGCTGCTGATGATGATGGTGATGATGATGATGCTGCTGCTGATGATGCTGCTGATGATGATTATTACGATGATGATGCTTCTGCTGATGGTGATGATGCTGCTGCTGATGATGATGGTGATGATGATGCTTCTGCTGATGATGGTGATGATGATGCTTCTGCTGATGATGATGGTGATGATGCTGCTGCTGATGATGATGGTGATGATGATGCTGCTGCTGCTGATGATGATGGCGATGATGATGCTGCTGCTGCTGATGATGGTGATGATGATGATGCTGCTGTTGCTGATGATGGTGATGATGATGCTGCTGCTGCTGATGATGGTGATGATGATGCTGCTGCTGCTGATGATGATGATGGTGATGATGATGCTTCTGCTGATGATGATGGTGATGATGATGCTGCTGCTGCTGGTGATGATGCTGGTGCTGCTGCTGATGATGATGGTGATGATGATGATGATGCTGCTACTGCTGATGATGGTGATGATGATGATGATGATGCTACTACTGATGATGATGATGCTTCTGCTGATGGTGATGATGCTGCTGCTGCTGCTGATGATGATGGTGATGATGATGCTTCTGCTGACGATGATGGTGATGATGATGCTGCTGCTGATGGTGATGATGCTGGTGCTGCTGCTGCTGCTGCTGATGATGATGGTGATGATGATGATGCTGCTGCTGCTGATGATGATAATGCTTCTGCTAATGGTAATGGTGATGATGCTAATGATGAGGATGATGCTGCTAATGCACTACACAACACACTATACACTTCACACTACACTCTACACTACAGCAGTTGTTCTTAACGTGGGGGGAGCGAGATGCCCTTTCTGTGCTAGGGAGGACGAGGCCACACTTGTTGTTTCTAGAAGGTCAAATAATCGAAAACACAAATCAAGGCACGGGCACGTCAAGTTACAACTTACCTTCTTTCATGAAACTCCGATGTGTTCATTAACATTACTACATTTTTCATTACCATTGAGCACCAAACGGGTCCAAGGCTGCGAGTAAAGGTTAAGTTAATGAACACATTCTCCTGCAAAAGGAGCTGGTAGGAACGTCGGGCTGCTCGGTCAATGGCCAGGGTCAACGGCACCACCACGTGGTGTATTCCGTACAATATTCCCGACTGTGAGGGCGGGCACAAGCCGGCGTGAGTAGGTTAAACGTTGAGTTTTATAAGGGCACCACGGGGTGACCAGCCCCTCCCCACCCAGCCCCACCCCTCCCATTTTTGGATGCACGACGGACGGACGGACACAATAATCCCCTGTGGGCTGGTGGTGGTGTAGTAACCAGGAGGTTCCTACACAGGATAATGATTCAAATATAAAACGCGGCATTCAATCCGAGGATCCCAATGCGCGAAGCATGAAAGGCGACTCCGATGGCGCAGATTTCAAGCGGCAAGACGATCCACTGGGCGGGAGCGGCGCTTGCAAGATCGCCCTGGGGGTGCTGAGCAGATCGGAAGATCCGAAGGACCTTGATGGAATATATAAAATGTCTAAGTTCCTTGCCGAGGCAATGCGGGGTGAGGCCATTGAAAGCCTCTTAGGTCATTGGCAGTATCTCAGTTCTCCACGTTCTCACGCTGGCCTGCCCTGTAGCTTCCACCGCCTCTGTCAGAGCTGCTGTGAACCTCCATGTATCTGGGTGAGTCTGTGTATCTCTGTGTAGCTCTATGGATCTCTGTGTAACTCTATGGATCTCTGTGTAGCTATATGGATCTGTGTAGCTATATGGATCTGTGTAACTCTATGGATCTCTGTGTAACTCTATGGATCTCTGTGTAACTCTATGGATCTCTGTGTAACTCTATGGATCTCTGTGTAACTCTATGGATCTCTGTGTAACTCTATGGATCTCTGTGTAATTCTATGGAACTCTGTGTAACTCTCTGGATATCTATGTAACTATGTATCTCTGTGTAGCTCTATGGATCTCTGTGTGACTCTACGGATCTCTATGTAACTCTATGGATCTCTGTGTAGCTCTATGGATCTCTGTGTAACTCTATGGATCTGTGTAACTCTATGGATCTCTGTGTAGCTATATGGATCTCTGTGAAACTCTATGGATTTCTGTGTAACTCTATGGATCTCTGTGTAACTCTATGGATCTCTGTGTAGCTATATGGATCTCTGTGTAACTCTATGGATCTCTGTGTAGCTCTTTGGATCTCTGTGTGACTCTATGGATCTCTATGTAACGCTATGGATCTCTGTGTAGCTATATGGATCTCTGTGTAACTCTATGGATCTCTGTGTAGCTATATGGATCTCTGTGTAACTCTATGGATCTCTGTGTGACTCTATGTATCTCTGTGTAACTCTATGGATCTCTATGCAACTCGATGGATCTCTGTAACTCGATGGATCTCTGTGTAACTCTATGGATCTCTGTGTGACTCTATGGATCTCTGTGTAACTCTATGGATCTCTGTGTAACTCTATGGATCTCTGTGTAACTCTATGGATCTCTGTGTGACTCCATGGATCTCTATGTAACTCTGTGGATCTTTGTGTAACTCTATGGATCTCTGTGTAACTCTATGGTTCTCTGTGTAACTCTATGGATCTCTGTGTAACTCTATGGATCTCTGTGTAACTCTATGGATGTCTGTGTAGCTCTATGTATCTCTGTAACTCAATGGATCTCTGTGTAACTCTATGGATCTCTGTGTGACTCTATGGATCTCTGTGTGACTCTATGGATCTCTGTGTAACTCTATGGATCTCTGTGTAACTCTATGGATCTCTGTATGACTTTATGGATCTCTGTGTAACTCTATGTATCTCTGTGTAACTCTATGGATCTCTGTGTAACTCTATGGATCTCTGTGTAACTCTATGGATCTCTGTGTAACTCTATGGATCTCTGTGTAACTCTATGGATCTCTGTGTAACTCTATGGATCTATATGTAAATCTATGGATCTCTGTATAGCTCTATGAGTCTCTGTGTAACTCTACGAGTCTCTGTGCAACTCTAAGGCTCTCTACGCAAGTTCTGGATGCGATCACGATCGTCATCACCACCACCATCACACACACACATATATATATAAGTAAATGTACTCACAGCCTGCCATTAGATACTCTCGGTAGAGTGGAATTCGGAAGTTTCCCGCCAGGGTCGCCACGTAGGAATGTATCCCGGGGAAGAGTTGCGCGAAGCCGGTTGCCTCGGTGCAGAAGTTTATGAACGCCCCAATGCACATCACCCCGTGGGGGTGGTAGCCAATCACGAAGTTGCGTGACGGACTCAGCTCGCACGTCTTGACCAGCTGCCACGCAAGGGTCACAGGCACAGGGCATAGGTCACAGGTCAAGGGCGAGGTCACAGGTCAAGGGCGAGGTCACAGGTCAAGGGCGAGGTCACAGGTCAAGGCCCTCCCCACGCAGTGTGGCTTGCACGGCCACAGTTGCAGCGCTGTGGCTGTGCCTTGCATCTCTTTGAGTCTCGGTGGGTCTCTCTCTGAGTCTTGGTGGGTCTCTATGGGTCTC